ATATATATATATATAGAGTTATAACTACACCGATGTAACTTTTACCAAGTATTACACCGTTTTATAATTTTATATTAAATGTAAATTTTATAAATTTAACCGTTGGATTGAAAGTTCATATCATTTTATATGTGTATATCAAATTTTGTTAAAATTGAAAACAACTTGAAGGAAATCAAAATGTTCATATTTTAGTATATTTTAAAATGAATATATTTACGTCAATTTTGTTTTATAAGAATGAAGTATCAAATCATCTTGAATTAATATAAAATTTTGTATATATGATCTAAGAGTAAAGAATATTCAATCTAATGGTTGAATTTACAAAATTCATATTTAATATAGAGTTATTGAACAATGTAATACTTAGTAAAAGTTACACCGGTATTATTATAACCCTCCTCATATATATATATATATATAGGAGGGTTCAAACGACACCGGTGTAACTTTTACTAAGTGTTACACCGCTTAATAACTTTATATTAAATGTGAATTTTGAAAATCTAACCGTTAGATTGAAAGTTCATATCTCTTAGATCATATATGTCAAATTTTGTTAAAATTGAACAACAACTTGAAGGTAATCAAAGTGTTCATATTTTAGTATATTTTGAAATGTATATATTACGTCAATTTTGTTTTATGAGAATGAAGTATCAAATCATCTTAGATTAATATAAAATTTGATATATATGATCTAAGAGATATGAACTTTCAATCTAATGGTTGGATTTTCAAAATTCACATTTAATATAAAGTTATTAAGCGGTGTAACACTTAGTAAAAGTTACACCGGTGTCGTTTGAACCCTCCTCATATATATATATATATCACTATTTAGATAATATATAAGAATTTTATTTCCCATTTTTATTTCCTTCTTTTTGATTTTTGAAAGATGCATGATTTTGATTTTTGAGGAGTGAAAAACATAGGCCACACAAGACAAACAGAGGGCCCGAAGGCACACAAATACTGGGCTAAAACAGGCAGCCCAACACATGATGTTGACGTATCATCTTAGGAAATTACTTTTTGTAACACTCCTTTCTACTAGTTGCAACACCCTTAATTTTTTTATATTTGAAAATACCCATATACATAATAAAAAGTTTAAATATTCTAAACATATTTTTTATAATTTCTGGAACCCATTCAAAACATTCTTCTAAAAATTTAATTTGAGAGTAATTTGTAAATCACTTTTGAAATTCTATTTTTGGACTACGTTTGTAAACATATCAAAATTAATTTTTCCAAAAACAAATTCCATAATTTAAATATTAAAAAGAACATTGATACACCGACTTTATTTAGACATGAGTAATTTTGAAATAACAGTTTAAAAAAATGGTGTGATTAACTTTGTAGCTTATATTTAATGAAAATTATCTACTATAAAAAATTTATTTGTCATCATTTGGTTTGGAATTTATAGTAAATATATATGAAGTTTGGTCAAAAGTTTGTCTTAAAAAATATGTTTGCTGGTATCTATATGGAGATGGTGTAATGCCGTGGGATTAGTTGTTTTGTTTCTTAATAGTTCCATGCTGGTTTGAAAATCAATCTGTACAACTAAATGTATAAATAAACTTGTAGTGTCCTTGTTTTGAATAAACTAATAGCGTCATTTGATTAAAATAGTAACAAATCATATCATTAAGCTTTAAGTATGTGGTTAAAGAGATGATTAAACAGGTCATGAGTCACGAGGAAAATCACGCTCAACTATCTTATTCGTAAATCGAAACTTTAAACTAATCATCTTTACTTTACCATAGTGGCTAATATTTTTACGAGATTATTATATTATATTCGTCACAGTCAACGCTTCAAAAGCTGGTACATATCAAATTCACGGTTGAAAATTGCTTGTACAAAATTAATCAATGTTAATTACTTTGAGTCACAACCAACTATTGGAAATTTGGAAATCACTAACTGCATGGTTAGAGACGCTGCTGAGTCACCCCACTATCCAGCTTTAAAATAAAAAAAAAAATAAAAGAAAGAATGATGAATTAAATACTAAAGTCACAAAACAATGAAGCTTACCCTACGAATGAAAATGATAACTTGATGCATTATAGTATTATCTTTGATATTGAAGTAACGAGACATTATTGTGACTATATCAATTTCTTGTTTGCATTATTGATAGCCATAATAAATTCTATGGGTGCAGAAGCTACGCACGCCACTTTTGTTGGGCTTATTTGTACCACCAAGTTCACAAACACCTTTTTCCATGGATAATACAATCCATTCATAACTGTCTCACTCACCTCATCCCCATAACTCATTTGCCATTCTTCTTCATCTGTTCTTGAATCGTAAATAACACTAATTTTCGGGTTGATTATGTTTCATATCGGATATGAGTCTCCATTGGACACCTAGATGCAAAGGAAAAACCCAATTTGTAGTGTATAGGTCGAAGTCAGCATCACTATCACATGAGAATACTATATAATACATATATATAGAAAGGGGAAGTGTATACCTCAACTAAGACCAAAGTTACTTTATCGTTATTATAGAAAAATACGATGCTTTGAACCAATCCAAAATTTTTCCTTCTGTTTAATTCCCATTTATCAGATTCAAAGGATTAATCCACACCGCAATAATTGTCCATTTTACATTTTCCTATGTATACTTTGATCCTAGACTGAGATATTAGGTAAATAGTTAATTTGGAAAAGATAAAAAACGAATTGAATGAATATAGCAGTGAATAATCAAGGAAATGACGTTAGCCTCTTTAAATTTCTTTGGCAAAGTTTACAACTTACCTTAAACTTATTTTAAATAAGATTTTTCATGAGATACTTATTTTAGTAACTTAGATTACTTTGATAATGTATTTTAAAACTATATATTATAGTATTGAAGTATTTTTGAAACTCCACTTATAGTATTTAGGCTATAAGTTTTTTACCCCTTTATTTAACATCTATATAGTTTAATAGCTAACTTCTTACATTTAAAATTTAATCAGCTAGTTTTCCAGGTTTTAGTTTACTCGCTTTTAAATGATCTATCCACCGATTTAACCAAATATATTCTTAATCAACTAATTTGAGTATGGCACTAATGAATTTAGCCAAATATACCCTTAATCAACTAATTTGAGTGTGACACTAATTTTATTCTTGATTTTACATGTAAACACCTTCTGGTAACAGGTTATATATATAAATATATTTTGCTGATTAAAAAAAAAACGTACTGAATAGCAAAGTGGTAAGGTAGAACCCTTCATCCCAAGATAAGATGAGGACAAACTATATAAGAATTCTTATGTGTATCACACACTATGCAATCACACCATATAGCATATGGTGTTCCTTTTTAAAGTTGGGAAAGGTATATCTACTACCAAACAAAAGAAAATTGCAGAGAGAGAAACGATTCGTCCAACTAAATGATAAACCCCTCTTCGGAGGGACCACTTTAGGACTTCACTAATTAGGGGCAAAGCAAGGTTTTTTTAGGCTTGTTAGCAGAATTGATTGATTTGTGGACCATTCTTTTTTTTCGTCTCCACACCTTAAGCATCTATACAATACAAACATGAATGATGCTGACATCACTTATTGCACCATGGTTTTATTTCTGAATTTATAGCATGAAACTTTCCAACACAATCTTACATTCAATCAACTTGGTATACCAATTGTAGCCTTACTTCTTACTAGAGGTTGTGCCTTCAGCAAGTCATTTTTCTTCACGATTGTCATGCTTTGTCAAAAGTCATGTCCACAGACGTTACAAATCATGCTTTTGCATATGCCACTAACTACTTGACCAATAGATAGAATGGAAATTTGCAAGCTGTGTAGGGAGAAACAATGATTCTAGACAAATACTGAAAATGATAATTGCTTTACAACCGTTGTGCTTGAACCGTTATCAGAGAAATTCGTGCAATAAGCTCCGAAAGAAAGTACTCTTCAAAAAATAAAAGAATTGTAATTTAAACTTTTGAAGCCACCTTACTATAACTTCTGTGCAGAGTTCATGTTTAATTGGTCAGTATATAACGGCACTTATCATCACATAAAATCCTAAGCCATATTTCTAGTAATGGTGAAAAGTGCACATAAAATACTACTTGACAAGTTAGTAGTGTTAATCAGCTTCTGATAAAAGCGTGAAGTAATCTTCTCATATCAATATTGACTGAAAAATCCAAGCTCAAAGAATAAGAAGCAAAGGCCATCCTCAAAATCAAAGAAAGTCCAATTGAGGAGCTATGACCAAAATCCACAAAAGCATGGAGCTTATCTTTAACTGCTATTTGTATTTGCAGTTTGGTGCACCCATTAAGCCATTGAAAATGCTACAAAAATCAATTTGTAAACTCACTAGACAAATTTCATTCTTGACTTCCAGCAATGTGGTCAATTTCCGAAATTCAAAAGCTACAAGCAATTCTTGAATAGCTTGTGTTTAGAGATGATACTATGCTAGAATTGGTAATTGGGTGTATCACACAATGTACAAACAGACAACACCTCAACCTGCCCCACCAGTATTACATGAAGAAGGATACAAGTTGAAGATGTCCTCTCCATATAAACACTAACGGGCATGTTCCTCTTTAATTTAAGGGCGTGAAGCTGTGAATGAGACCTTATAGGCACTCCTACACTACACATACAGCGCAATACAACATTGCTGTGACCTTTCATACTTCGAGTGTACATTCCTGTGATCTATTAGACCTTGACTCTTCAATCTTTGTGGCCACCTCTGACACTACTAGCCTGGTCAAAAGCAACCCTGCAATCAAAGCTGCTGCCATCAACATTGTGAAAACAGCACTCCAGCTCTTTGCAGATATGTAACCCGTTAACAAAGGTCCAACTGCAGCCCCTATAGAACCAGTTCCATCAATGATTGCCGTGACAGTTGCAAGAGCTCGTGAATTACCCTTCAATGATTTATGTGTTCCCAGGTCAGCCGAAACTGCAGTAGTTATGAGAGCATAAGGTCCATTCACGAACATGCCAGTGATGAACATCAACACTCCGTTCAAAATCAACGAAACATGCCCGTAACTCCGATAGAAGAAGAGAGCTGGGATTGCACAGTACATGAAACTTGCTGCTGTTATGGCTCTAGCCTCTAAGTGATCAGAAATGTGACCAGCTAGAATTCCGCCAAGCACCCCTCCAACATCAAATAAAGTGGATAGCGTTCCTGATGTCTCACTAGATAGATATTTCCCATCAATTGCTGCATTATATAATGAACATTAATTAGAAACCATAAAGATTAAATTTACAAGTAATTCTTAGCTGCAATTGTAAAAGGTAGACATAAAGATAATTTTCAAATGAGTAGAGTGTAAGAACCTGTGTGGCTAACATAGAATGGGAGCCAATAGAGAAACGTATATGCAACCAATTTGGCAAAAAACAGACAAAGAGCAAAAGGAGCAACCCCAGGAATTTTCCATGCTTGTATGAACCCAACTGCTTTCTCCTCAACTGGAGTTTCTTGGCTTAATAGAGGCTCTGCTATTTCTTCACCACTTTTCTTGGGATAACTGTCTTCATCTTCCTCTCTATCAGCTCCTACAGACTGGGGAGTGATCGGCAATATAAGGAAAACAACCAAACCAACGAAAGCAGTTATTAGTCCTGGCACAACAAAGGACCAACCCCATCCATAGCTCAACATAGCAGAAGCAATCAAAGAACCAGCAATGTTCCCAATTGAAGTGTGAGCATTCCAAATTCCCATGATCAACCCTCTCTTGCTCTTCCCAAACCAGTTACCCACAACAGCAACTACAGAAGGCCACCCAGTGGATTGAAACAATCCAGCAATCATTTGAACTACTAAATAATAATAGAAGTTGTGGATGTTTCCCCAGTACCCTACCCCAAATAATGAAGTAAACAAGCCAGTTCCTATCATCCCCACAGTTAGAAAAATCCTCAAATTACACCTATCACCAAAATGTCCAGAAAAGTACATCCCAAAAGCATACACTGCAAGAAAAGCAACATCCAATTCACCAAGAATGGATGTGCCATCTGATCCATTAAATGGTGCCCAACCATCTCCAAGGTTGGAAGAAAGTCTCCTTGATCCATTTGACACAGTGAAATTGATTGGCCTCAATGGAAAGAAGGCCAAACCTATATCTGCTGATTGGGGATCAAGGACACTCTTTACAATACTAGTAGTTTTTCTAGTGGCATGATAACTAGCATAAGCAAAAAATGTTACAATCAAAACAATGGCTTGGTGGGTTTTGAAGGAGAGAGGGCCTCCATTTAAGTACTGTAGGACCCGAGTCCCAATGAGCTTGCCACAACTTCTCTGAGCCAACACTTCTGGTGCCGAACCCATGTATTATAACAGGTGCAACAAAGAGGAAGAAGTTGAGCTCCCCCTTATAGAATATAACTGCAAAAAATTAAACGAATTCATAAGCAAGACTGACTATGGTATTAAATTTGGCTAATTCCATTTGCACCGCAAAATAGTAATTAACAGACATTCCTGATCCTAGATATTGATATCAATCATAAGAATTTTTTTTCATCTAACATATATTCTAATTCATACAAAAATACGATCTATATATTTTTTGTTTCATGAAAATCGAAAACAAGTATAAGAGTCTAACTCAGTTGGTTGAGCTAGAAGCGTGAAATAGAAAGATGGCAATCACCCATGATCTCAAAACAATTTATAGTTAAAATACTTTTCTTAATTCCAGAACAACTTTTCTCCAGAGAAAAGCGTATGTTTACCTTACGTCCACCACAAAGTATAATCGTCAATAAATAGAGTTCCTTATAATTGGACTCGAGAAAATAATTTAAAATTAAAAAAAAATATATAAAAGTGGATGATGCAGTATGGGCAACATCCAAAGTGAATCAGAAATCAAATCCAAAGAAAATCAGCATCAAAGATTTCCTTCACAAAGTTTAAGCCACCTCGGGAAACAAAAACATCATTAGACAAACAACCCAAATCTCGAAGGTTACTCCAACATGAACTGAAAGAATTTATCAAAACCAAAAAAAGAAACAAAATTGAACGCACCCCAAAAATTAAAATAAAAAAAAAATAAAAAGCTTGGAAAGTGCAATGAAGAAAATTTGGGTCCTCCGACAAACAGGAAAATCGTACCCCTGAAGCTATGTGTAGCTGAGTAGAGCTGTGTTGAATCAAAATCTGGGTTTGAGTTTTGAAGTGGTTTGTGTTGGTTCAGTTTCACCTCCGTTGAAGAGTTTGCGTGTTCTTTTGTGACAGTTTAGCAGAGGAAAACGCTCTTGAGACGCAAGAAAAGGAAGCAGCGTGTGATTACTTATGCTTAGCGTGTATGTTTATTTATTATGCGAAATTACGCTTTTGCTCCTTCACTAACAACTATGGCCCCTCCATATTACGTGTTTTTTCTCAATTACCACATTACCATCACTCCTTCGAATTCACCAAAATGTCCTCTTTCTCAGTAACATCGCTCACCCAGACAATAGTATTAAAAACATACTTAAATACTAACAAAATCTTAATGGTGTCATTAATAACATCTTGGGATTCATGTTTTAATTCGCGTATGTCATGTCATCAAACCCCCGTTAAAATGCTGTATGAAGCCGAAAAATTGTTCGAATAATTGAAAATTTATTATTTTTAATAAATTTATTATAAAATAATTATTTTTTAATTATTCGGAACGTTTTCGGCTTTCGTTTTCGGAGGCTCTTAAATATATATATATATATATATATATATATATATATATAAAAGGATGCAAAAACAACGTATTTGATGCGTTTGGATTCCAGTTACATTAAACGTAACTGAACAACAACACTACACTTATTTTAGTGTTCTTCTTTCAGAAAAAGTTCGTTTGTTAAACAGATTATAATTCTGCTATTGACGTGATTTTTCACAAGTTCCTTAATAAGTGTTAAATATTAAGATTATATCTAGATACTAGTTATAAATGTTTTTTAAATTTTTTTATTAAAAATAAAAATTGTTTTTGATAAAAAAAAATTTCAAAAATATTAATAAATTTCTATCCAAACAAATTCTAAATTCATATAAAAATTCATATTTGTAATTACTTGAATGTTGAAGTGTTTACAATTAGATAAGATGAGATATTAATAATTTTAATTTTTTATAATAATTTATTATGCGTGATATGCATGCAAGGTAACAAATTACAACACAGTTTAAAATTTTTGATAAATTATTTGCGTTATAAATTAAATTCTCTTTCTTTTTCATTGTTAGTGAAAATTATTTTTATTTATTTATTGTTTTTAAAGTCTTGAACAACATTAATTAATTATTTATCAATTTATTATTAAGAAAAATTATAATAAAAATAAAATATTTTGAATTTAAAATTTTTATATACTACTTCAATCTTTTATTAAATTGAGCTAACAGTTTATTTGTTTTTCAATTATATATTTTTAATTTATTTATTTTTTTATCAACTCTTATATATAAAATACAAGCTATTATTTTACATAAGATCATTTAAAAAAAATCTTATTTTTAAAAAATTATTTTAATTTAATTTTTATTTATCACAATTATTTATAAAATATTTTTTTTAATATTTTTAATAAATACTGAGAATATAACAAAATGAATAAATAAATACTGGTGTTAGAAAACCACCACAAAATTTTAAATATAATATTTATTTATATATATATAATTTATTTTAATTTTTAGTTATATATAATAAGTATTTAATGTATTCATTACAAATGTTAAAATACTAGTTTATACTTTTCTAACAAATATACACTTTTATGAGGTAAAATTAAAGAAAATATACTAAAATATTAAAATTATTTATAAAAAAAATATAAAATTTTAGTATGTTCATTAATTTATGTGTAAAAATCCTGTTTAACTATTAAAAATTAATGGAAATAGTATTCTGATGATTTTGTTGACTTTTTTCATATATTATTATTGAATATCTCAAGGATTACTTCTTCTCTCTTTTTTTCCTTTTAAAGTTTTGTACATGTAGTTGAAAATATAACATGAAATTATGTTTTATTCCTTGATTAGTATTATATATTATATCACCATGTTTATGATTTAATTAGATATAAAAATTATTTGACAACTACACTACGACTTATTATTTTATTTTTTTCTTTTAAAAATATAAAAACACGAAATATATATCTCTCTTTTTCATGTTTCCATGGTGTTATGTCTACAAAGAGTATTTATTCCGAGTCAGGGTTGGATTACGTCACTGCCTTCTACCAGAAGTTGCTGGAGGATTATATCACAGTAATTGATTTCAAAATTCAAATCTGATATATAAAACTATAAAAGATTGTGTGCCTTTATTGTAAAATATCGCATTTAATTTCTTCAAAAAAGAAGAAGAAAATTCTACTCCCTTCCATCGAATATACGATCCTCAAATATCTAATTCATTTAAATTAAAAATAAAATAATTAATCTGCCTCATAATAATAAACTTATCTTATTTTTGTATATTTTTAAAATTACTTTTATATTATTTAGTTTTTTTATTAATAATCATTCCTCTTTTAACAACTTTTAACTAATTAGAATGTATATTATACTATTTTTATTTCATTATTAATATCATTTATTTTCTTAATCAATTAGAATGTATGTCTAATATTTTCATAAAAAAAATTTTAATTACATATATTTTAATTTTAAAAAAAATATTATATTAACTACTATGTCTTATATAAAAAAATTATTATTATTTTTAATTAAATCTTATATATAAAAATGAGAGTAATAAATTCTTTTAGTTTTTTTATCCTATTAAAAAATACTACATTTTAGAATAATAAATTGAAATTTATATACATCTTAACTGTGTTAAATGATTTAAAAATATTTCATTCAACTTATTAAAAATAAACGCATTCCATAATTAATTTGAAGCTTTCATATCACATCTAGCAATGAAATTTACGTTTTTCATTTATCAGTTAAAATTTTTTAAACTATTTATACTTTACAACTCAACTAATCAGTAGACAATTCAAAAAATCAATCAATTGAATTAAACTTTCTATAACATTGGTGTGCTTATTTTCATGTGTTGAAATGTTGTATGTCGGGTTTGATCGATCTAACGAGCACAAGCTTTCTTCTACATGTTTTCTAAAATTTGAACTAATTACAAACCAAATACACAGTACATATGTAAGGATCGTTCATAACAGAAGTTAGGGAACTAAGAATTTTCAAATAAAATAACAAGTATGGTACGAAAAAAAAGGAATTAGATAAGGCAGTTGAAGGGAGACATACCTTGGTGTTGGAAGTTGCCTGGAAGTAAAGAAAAAACAGCTAACGCAAGAGGACGAAAAAATCAAAATCAAAATCAAAATCAAAGTGAAAATGAAGAGTTGAATTCAAATGCCCCACTTATGCCTATTATTTAAATGTTTTGGGTCCCAATACGAAGGATATGTTTGTCAATGTGAACAGCGTAAATATGAGGGGGCAAAATGGTAATATGATAGCCGCCCAGTCTTCGTGGTACAAATAATGGGGAAAAAGAAAAAACGGATATTCGAATATCCATTAGCATTATTCCTTACGTGAAGCGGATATCCGCCTCTACCAAAATCATCGTTGCCCTGCGTCGAGTTTTCCAATAATATGACGTGGCAAAATTAGTGGACGATGGATGCCGCGTGCCCAATTGGGTCCACGTGTCATATTGCATTTCTTTTGGATGGGGCTAAGTATTAAGTAAGCCCAATTTCTTCTAATGTCGCCTTCGTATTAGGGTAAGAACTAAGAACTAAGAAAACAACGAAATTATGTTTTTTTTTTCTTCCCAAAATTCTGTGGATGTTTGTTTCAATTGTGAAGATAAATTTAATTGAAAAATTGCGCACAAATTATTTGTACATGTAGAGCCTTTTAGTAAGGCACGTAGTGTTCAATGTACGGCTTATTATCTGGTGATTTGTAGCATGATTCGCTAAATATACAAGGTATAATATCCAAACAACGATTCTAGAAATTATGAAGTTCAAAATCAATTTTATTTTTTAAATTTTAATTTAATATCGTTTATTAATTATCATTATTTTTTGTCGATTACAAAATCATCGAATTTTATACTATTGCATTCTTAATATATAAAACGGTAAGTTTATTTAATACATTCTTTAATATAGCCAAAATGTAATCTTAGATAAATTCGAGTAGTTTTAATTTAAAAAATTATTTCCACCAATAGTAACAGTTATAAATATTATGAATAATATTTTTCAATATTATGTAATACATACAGTGGAGTATAAAGTTTTTTGTATGCATATGTTTTAATATATTTATTTCAAAAAAAAATTAATATAATTTTTTTCTCGATCAATTTTCATTAAGAAATTCCAATTTTAAAAAATCTGAATATAAATTAAAAGTAATGTCATACTTTAAAAGTTATTTAAAAATAACTTTCAACTAAATATGTTAATTAGTCTAATATATATGTTAATAGTTAAGCGTGTGATTATTTGACTCATTGTTCAAAATTTACTCAAAATTTGACTGAGTGCTACATCGTTTCTAAACTTATTATTTTAATAACTTTGCTACACGTCAGAAAACAAACTAATAATTAGTTTACTAGAAAAACGGATCCAAATTCTCTGAGATATGGTAACTTAACACATTCAATCGTTGAATTTGTAATAATAGATCAGATTGTGACACGTGTACAAAATATATTTTAACTTAAATGTACACGTATCACAATCTGATCTACTATTACAAATTCAATGGTTTAAATGTGTAAAGTTACCCTAACTTTCCCCCTCCAAAATGGGAATCTATTTCCTAGAAAAACATTAAACAATCAAGAAAAGGGAAAAAGACACGAGTCAAAGTAATAGGAACAAATAAAACATGTGTTTTTTTTTTTTTTATCTTCCATTCTTATCATTTTATTTGGTTTTATTATTATTTTAATTACATAATTTCATATTTTAGTATTTATTTAAACTTCTGTTATTATTAGGTAGCACCTAAAGATCAGATACATACTAGATAGAGCATAGAGCCCAAATAAAGGGGAAAATTGTCTAATTGCGTCAATCCTGTAAGGCTCCAAAAACAACCCAAATTTAACTGAATTTAAAAACCCAATAGATTCATACTTTCCCGGCCCAAGTCGTTACGAACAGGTCACAGACAGATCCAAAAAAACTAATAGTTACAAATGACAGACACCGATAAATTTTGTTGGACAAATACCCCACTGAACTATTGTATCTCAGACCACCATGTGGACAGTTCTTCATTTCTCCAATGGTTTATGGTTGAGGAAATTGAATTCAGATTCAGCAATGTCCCTATGGTATAGTTAACTATTTTTGTTGATTCATAGCTTCAAAACAGCATCACTCAACATAAGTATTCCTCAAGAAAATGCTTGATTTCAAGAATTTAACGCGACAGGTATCCCATTAAAAAGTCAAATTCACATTGCACCTTCAAAGCAAGAAGCTCATTCACAATTCTACAAACACTTATTACATAGAAAAGAAGTTTCAAAACTAAACAGAGCAACAAGGCCTCAGAGAAGAAAACAAAAAAAGTGTCTAAGCGAAACAACCGAAGAAGCTTATTCTATTCGATCTTGACATCGATCACATCGCTCCTCTCATTTTCCTTCATTTTAGGCACAACGAGTTTGAGCACGCCGTTCTTCATCTCAGCCTTGATCTGGTCAATCTTGTAAAGCTTGTCCGGCAAGTCAATCCTGCTAGAGTAGCGACGAGCGCTTTCTTCGTCCTCGCTTTCTTTAGCACCTTCGCCTTTGATAGTGAGAGTGTTCTGCTCCACGGAGATCTTCACGTCTTCCTTCCCGAGTCCAGGCATGTCCACGCGGAGAAGCAGAGCATCCTCCGTCTCTCTCGCGTCCCATCCGCGACGAACTCCGGCTCCAGCACCGATTCCGCGCGGCGGAGAGAGGAACGGATTGTCCATGAACTGATCCACCATGTTCAGAACCTGGCTCAAACTCCGAGTCGGAAAAAACGGATCCAGCGCGTCTGCAAATAGCAAGATCCAGACGATAACAATATTAAGTTCAGTAACGAAATTAGCGAATCAAGAAAAGCGCGGGAAAGTAAATCGAATAGCGACTACAATACAACTACCTGCGAAGATATCGTCGCGGCGCGATGTGCGAGGGGAAGAGCG